GGGAGTTTATAAAGTGATTAGAGTTGTAATTATAGACCAACAGTTTGTAACTGTTCACCTGTAACTAGAGTCTATTTACTTGTAATAAATAGTAATTCTTCTACATACAGAAACCTGGTCCTTGCTTTCTATTAGTCTGGGTCTAAAAATCTGGTAAATTGGGAATTTGATATATTTTTTAAATCTTAAGATTTATGCGATGACTCCAGGAATAGCAGGGCTTGACTTCCAACACATTAGCCTAGTGAATCATAACAATATTGAGAAAGAAAACTTTACAAATATGTTTGGAATCGTATTAGCAAGCAGCTAAAGGAATACTACCTCCACTGCAACTGGACATACTATCAATGGTCTGACTCTCCAAATTTTTATCCAGAGAAGATGTCGTGTAAAAATGTACCATTAAGGGTATTAAGACTAAATAATAAATGTTGGTAGTAGCACACTTCTGTCTGGTAAGATGGTGGTCAATTCTGTGTTAAGTGTCAACAGATGGGGCTCAGGGGCCCCATTCTGGCAAGTCAGTCTCTGCCAAAAGATATAGGAACAGAATTAGACCATTTGGCCCATCAAGTCAGCTCCACCATTCAACAATAGCTAATATGGTTTCTCAACTCCATTCTCCTGTCTTCTCCTGGTAACCCTCAATCCACTTACTAATCAAGAACCTATCTACATCTGTCTTGAATATGCTGAATGACTTGACCTCCACAGTTCTCAGTGGCAATACATCTCACAGATTAACCACCCTCTGGCTAAAGAAATTCCTCCTCATCTCACATTTACTGCAGAGGAAGACAGTGCACTAAGAAGGTGCAGGTTCCTCTAGTCTCTGGGCCCTCTTCTCAGCTGCTGAGATTTTAATTTCTGCTTACTTCTTCCACAGTACTTCGAAAAGGTCAGCCTCCAGAGGTTATTACCATCAGTGACTGCCTTCCAGTTGCCGGTCTCAATATCACCATCTTCATATCTTGTTTGCAGATGTGCTAGTGGATGTTTAGATGTCCACATATTTGTGGTCCAATCACCAATCCAATGTACAGAAAATATTTGGCCCTCATCCAGTGAAAATGGCCAAGGCAGTAGAAACATTGCTTATTTAGCAATGAGCTTATTCTGATGGAATTAGTCTGCTCAAGGACCAATGTGTTGGAAATCTTTTCCTGCCAAGGACATGTCTGAAACAGCAAGGTAGAAACTGCTCTGCCTTTCTCCTGCCTAGCATCTGTTATCCAGATCTCAGGTGCAGTGACAGTAACAGCCTTTGACATCAATGCTGCTTTCGATCGAGGGTGGCATTAAGAAGCCCGAGCAAAACTGGTATCAATGGATGTCGGGGGCAAACTTTTTGCTAGTTAGAGTTGGACCTGGGACATGGGAAGATGGTTGCGGTTGTCGGAGGTCAGTTATCTTAGCTCCAAGATATCATTGCAGGAGATCCTCAGATCAGTGTCCTAGGCCCAACCATCTTCAGCTGCTTCACTAACGACCTTCCCTCATAAGGTCAGAAGTGGGGGTGTTTATTAATGATTGCACAACGTTCAGCACCATTCGTGACTCCTCAGATACTGAAGCAGTCCATGTTCAAATGCGACAAAATCTGGATAATATCTTGGCTTAGGCTGACAAGTGGAAGTAACATTTTCATTCTACAAATGCCAAACAAATGACCATTTCCAATAAGAAACAATCAAACCACTTCCCCTTGACATTCAATGGTGTTACCATCACTGAATCTCCTACTATCAATCTTCTGGGCGTTACTATTGACAAAAAATTCAACTGGACTTACCACATAAACACATTGGCTACAACAGCAGGTCAGAGCTAGGATTACTGTGGCGAGTAACTCACCTCCTGACTCCTCAAAACCTCAAAAGCACAAGTCAGAAGTGTGATGGAATACTTTGCCCACATGCCTGTAAGAGTACAGCCTCAAAACCACGCAATTTTGTTATTTAAGAAACATTTAGACAAGTGCATGGATGGTACAGGTCCGGAGGTATATGAACCAAATGCAGGTCAATGGGGATATTTTAATTGTGAAAACTGGGCGGCATGGGCAAGTTGGGCCAAAGGATCCATGTTTCCATGCTGTCGATCTCAATAACTCAAGAAGCTTAACACCATCCAGTCTGCCTGGTTAGTACTACATCAATAAGCATCCACCCTCTCAACCAATGATGCTCAGCATCTACAAGGTACATTGCAGAAATTCACCAAAGATTCTTCGACAGCACCTTCCAAACTCACAATCACTTCTATTGAGAAGCAGCAGATACATGAGAACACCACCATTTGCAAATTCCCCTCCAAGCCACTCACCATCTTGCCTTGGAAATATATTGCCTTTTCTTCACTGTCGCTGAGTCAAAATCATGGAATTCTCTCCCTAAGAGCATTGTGGGTCAACCTAAGCACATGGGCTGCAGCATTTCAAGAAGGCAGCTCACCAACACCTTCTCAAGAGCAACTAGGGACAGGTAATAAATGCTGGTGTTAGATTAGGCTGAAGATATGGGAAAAGATATGACATTATACAGTAGATTAGAATGAGTTGACTGCAAGCTAGGCAGAAGATGTTGTAGAAAACGGTTCTCCAAGGTCAATAGGTTGCCATGCCTATGTTCAAGCTGCTGTTACGAAGAAGGAAAAGAATGATGTTTCAGCCACTGTGAAGACCCATCAGGGGCTAAGTTATGGTTAAGACCATAAAAGAGAGAAGGATTTGTAGAGACCAAAGGAATTCGACCATTGTTAGCTATGTATGGTAAAATCATTTGGAATTGGACAAGTTTCAAAAGCAATTCCAAATAAGGAAATCGGAATGCCAACTTGGCAGGTCTGAACTGTATAAAAAGCGGCCCCAGAAACCCTTGATTTTAGCAGGACTTGAGAATAACACTGCAAGAGGTACCATATGGCAGGAGGCTTGGCAAAGACATTGAGGAGAGTTCCAGCCCGGCCAGCTGCCACCTCTCCAGGGTAATAATGTTTGGGGTTAGCTACAGAACCCAGAGCAGTAAATGACTGTGGTTGATATATCTCTAGTATTTAAAGGCATGTATCATTTACTTAGGTACTTAATAAATTAATTATATTCAATAGAGCTCTAAGTGTCTCCACTGTATATTCGTCTATGTATATAACTGTTGTTTCACAGAGATGGGCAAAACTGGCCAGCCATGTCCCACGGGTGAATTAAATAATGTAGAGGAGCATGCTGATGACATTAGCTGAGCGGAATCGCAGTTTGGCATTCTCAGTTAGTTTGTCACTGCAGACTCTCTTATTCAGCTTGGACATAGCATGACAGCTGCAGCTTTTGTGAAGTAGACGTGATTTCATAATCAAGTGGTAGATTTTCGGTGGTTGTAAAGCCAAGATATGTGAACCAATCAACAACATCCCGGAGTTAAGTTGTCAATAATGATCGATGCCATCAACCTTCACCATGACATTAGTCTTCCAAATACTGATGGCATGCAATACAAGCAAAGAGAAGAAAATGCTCAGGGTGTCAATGCTGTAGTACAACCTTGCCAAGTCCCACGGCACAGATCACAACCAGTTTCAATGTTGCTCCACCAGAGCTGACCTCACCTTATAACTCTCAGGTTTTCATGGAAACTGCAGATCATATTGACCAGCCAAAGTAGGCATCAAAAGTTGTCCAGGAACTTCAAAACAATGTTATTATGTACGTAGTAAGATGTCTTGATGAAAGCAATAGATAATAGATTTCCCTTGCAGCTGCCAAACTGAGGCGATTGGGTCAACTAAGGTGGATAAGTTGGGATGTGAAATCTGACAAGGGAAACACAGGCAAATAATTTTCTCATGATGTTCACAATGGTGGTCCTCAATATTTCTTCAAGTTGCTGAGGTAATCCTTGTTCTTGTACAAGGTCATAGATTTTGTATCATGTGCGTTCTTGGGCAAGGTTCCCTCCCTCCAGCAGAAGCTGAGAGGTTCATGCAGATGCAGCAAAATATCTGGTTTAATGGTATAGAATCAGCACCTGGATCTTTGCATATGGCAAGTAAGTCAACAGCACTGTTAAGCCTCTCCACTATGGATTTACTATCCAGCTCTACCATGCCAGGCAGGTATTCCATTGTATCTACAGCCTCCTCACAGTACAACCTAAGGTAGTGTTCCTTGCTAGGATGCTTGAGTTGTTAAGGTATTGGGAAGTATGTAGGTTTGACTCCTAGTAGTTGAGAATAAATGTTGGCATTGCTGCTTAAGAACTGCTACTGGTTCCTATTGCTGTGGTACCTAACCAAATATATGCCCTCTTAACACCATCTCCCTTGACAGCTTCAACCCCTTATACATTGCTTCCCTATTAACTTTGTTCAGGTCATTGTGTGCTTCTCCTATTCTATAGATTTGATTTTACCCTACTAATCTTGTGTCCAAAAAAGCCACCTACTTATCGTTCAGTGTGCTAATTGGTTGCCTTCAATGTTGTTTTGATGGACTAGCAAGCAAAATTTCAAAGGTTACTCTTAATAATTAAATAGTCTTAGGCAAATACAGAAAGATGTCAGTCTATTATTATTTTGTATGTAACAGTACTTACACCAATGATGATATGGAAAAAGTCAAGAGCATAAGAAAGCTTTCCTATTCTAGATTAATAATTTATACAGTAAAATCACTGTAATCCACAACTTCATTATTCATTGTTTAAAAAACTGTCCATAAATCTGTGAAAATCAATTCATTACTTAACACTTTAAGTTCTCAGATGTTCTCCAAAACTAAATTGGCCAAGACATAGTCTTAAGATAAACTATGCAAGTGTATTTTCTGCCTTTTCAACATTAGTATTTACCAAATTATGTAGAATATCAATCAATGTTAAAGTGAAAAAAGTATCAATTTCAAACTCAGAATGAATCATTAGTCCAAATTACTCTCATAACACATATGGAAAGCAAGAATTCTGATTAGTTAAGACAGTCTGGAAGCTTTATTAAAATCATACCTGAAGGTTTTGTTTAATTCTTTTCAGATTGTGCTGAAGCAGAAAATTTTTTTCAAGGAAGAAACGACTATACTGGTCATCTATTTGTTTTAATAAATTATGGAACAGAAGGGTAGCCAGTGAATCATTATTCGAGGCAAGATCCCTGTTGAAAACAATGACAAAACCATTAAATGGAAGTCTGAGTACCTCATCCTTCACTAAAACAGCTTTCAAAAATGTTATGTTATGCATCATTAATGAAGAAAATTGTGAAATTTTGTTCCATAATGGAAAATCCATGATGATTCAGAAAATAAAGAGATGAACAAACCCAATTCTGTAGGTGTATCTGGTGTTCAGAATCTAGTAGCTGGAAAGTTTAGACTTTTTCCCCTTTGAATACATTGGAAAGAGTGAGTGTGTGGATGGATGTTGAGTGACAAAAGGAACTAGTTGGCATTAAGTCTTTCGCAGTACAACGTTCTAGCGACACCAAAAATACCAGGCAAGATTGGTCTATTGGATAAACCACAACTGCTCTCACACTCATACCAGGGCCCTAAATTGTTGGCTGCCTCCAAGAACATCATGGGACCTGATCTGCATAATTAAAGCAGGATATAGTGACCCAGTAAGGGTGATGGCAGAGCCAGCTCAAAGGACGGTCCTCTTGTTCCTTTTTTTAAAAATTGGATTACAAGGGGTAACTGTTGCTTGTATTTTAATAGCCTACAAAGTGTCACAGCTCCCATAAGACAAGTAGACACTTATGTGAGGCACTGTATGGCTGCCGGCTCCCATGAGATCATAACCAAAAAGAAGGTAGGCCTTTACGGACAGAAACAGAAGTTGCTGGCAAATTTCAGCAGATCTGGCAGCATCTGTGAAGAAAATAAATCAGAGTTAATGTTTCGGGTCTGGTGACTCTTGCTCAGAACTGATGGTAGCTGGGAAAACATCGGTTTATAAGCAGAAAATAGGGAGGGGGATGGGGTAGGGAGTAAACGATAGGATAAAGGATAGAGCCCGAAGAGACAAGAGCAATTGGATAGACAAAGGAGTTGATAATGATCTGGCTAGGAGGGTGAATAGCTGTTAATGGGGACTGTTAGTGACTGACAATGGGTAGCGTGTAATGGCAGGCAATGTGGTAACAAGGCCTGGTGTGTGCAGTAGGGGGCTAGGACATGGGAGAGTTTAGGCCTTAAAATTATTGAACTCGATATCGAGTCCAGAGGGCTGCAGGATCCCCAAGCGCGAAATCCAGTGTTGTTCTTCCAGCTTGCGTTGAGCTTCGATGGAACACTGCAGCAAGCCAAAGTCGGAGATGTTGGCCAGGGAACAGGGTGGTGTGTTAAAGTGGCAGGCAACTGGAAGCTCAGGGTCTTTTTTGCAGTCAGAACATAGATGTTCTGCAAACCGATCACCCAGTCTAAGCTTTGTTTCCCTAATGTCGGGGAGACCACATCGTGAGCAGTGAATGCAATAGACTAGATTCTGGAAAGTGTTGCTTCACCTGGAAGGTATGTTTGGGTCCTTGGATACTGGGGAGGGAGGAGCTAAATGGGCAGGCGTTGACCTTTGCTGGTTGCAGGGAACTTTTCTTCATAGATGCTGCCAGACCTGCTGAGCTTTTCCAGCAACTTCTGTTTTTGTTCCTGATTTACAGCATCCACAGTTCTTTCGGTTTTTATTTACTATTTAACTCACTGCCACATCTCTTCTAGGCATGCCCTCCTCGAAGAAGTTCTGCTCCTCTCTCTGACGGGATTTCCGTTCCAATCTTTCTTCTTGTCCACCGACTTTAATTTCACTGTCACTTAAAATCTGTTTCCACAGCATTATCACTTTCTTCAGTGACTGCCCCAGGCTCAGACTCCCACCACGTGGATTCCAACTGAAGATTCATCCCTCATGTTTTGAATCATCCCAGGATCACAGATATCTCCATGACCTTCAACTTTCAACAGCTGCTCTCACCGCATCCAGAGATCCGCGCTCAGTGCCATGTGGCATCACATGCACACCCTTGACCTTTCTCTCCAACAACATCGCAACATGCTGGCTCAGGGTTGCACCACTCCACAGTTCCACTTCATCCTCCAGCTCATTCGTTGTCCTAACAAGAAACCTTTTCTTTTCCTTTCAGGCATCAAAGACGACAAGATGCAACAACTCAGAGATACCTATGGCCCTGTGGAACCTTCCTCTCCTCCCCTTCCCTCTGACTCCATCTCCTCCCCAAACCCCAACTCCTGTCAGGTATTCACCATCCCTCCTAACCTTCTGCTCTCCGATACTGAATGTTCTGTACTCAGCAAAGGCCTCAGCTTTATTCCTCCACGTCCCCATCTTAACGAATTTCAGGCATGACATGACATTGAACTCTTATTCCGTCATTTTCACTTCCGAGCCCATTTGTTTGGACAAGAGTCCTCTCCCCGTCTCACAGACCCCTTCACCCAGTTCCAACACTCTCCCTCTACCTGTTTACCTGTACTCAATCTGTTCATTGAGAACTGTCGACTTGATATTGGTTGCCTCAATTTCTCTTGCCTCCCTCACCAAATCCAACCTATCTCCCTCTGAACTGACTGCAATTGGTGCGCTTAGATATAACCTTGACTTTGTTATTAAGATGCCGATAAAGATGGTGCTGTTGTAGTCTGGCGCACTGACCTCGACACTGCAGAGGCTCAGTGCCAGCTCTCAGATACCTCCTCCTATTTTCCCCCTTTGTAGTTTTTAACTATTTTTTTCTCCTTAGGTCTCTATTTGCATGTCAACAAATTTTTGCCTTTAACAAATTGTGATTTTTGACAAAGCAAAGGACATTTGTGACAAGGGTTCCTCAGTTTGAAATTGGCTGGTAAGGTGCAAAAGAAACCTCTCACTATTCCAAAATTCCACTGTCGCGAATAATCTGTTGCAAGCCTTAATTCTTCTAGCATCTCTTGATTGTTATTTTAAACGTTATTTAACACCCATAATGTGTTACACCCATAAATTTTAAAACCATTGAGAGGTCAATGCTCATCTTTCCCAAAACGCAAATTTGAATCCGTCCAAGTAGATTTCCTTCCTGCCACAGTACCAGGGTGATTCTTATCACAGTCCTAACTGACATCCTCTGTGATTCCAAGAAGATAAACTGATACTTGTTATCCTCTAAATCTGTCTGTAGCCTTGGTACAGTTGACCACACCATCCAGCTGCATCATCTCTCAATCATCACCTAACTTGGAGCTCCATTCACTTGGTTCCATTTTTGCTGATCCAGTCGCAGCCAGAAATTCATCTCCAACAGCTTCACTTCCTATTTCTGAGCGGTTAGCTCTGGTGCCCCCTCAGGATCTATCCTTGACTTCTCCTACTTTTTATCTGCATGCTGCGCCTCAGCGCCACATGTGAAAACACAGCATCAGTGTCCACATATATGGTGATAATACACAGCATCACCAACACCGCTCTCAACCCCTCACCTTCTCACCATTGTCAGATTCCTTATCTAACAGCCAGTACTGAATGAGCAGAAATTTCTTCCAATTAAATAATGCCAACATAAGAACAAGAGCAAGAGACTCAAACCATCATGCCTTCCCCACCATTCAATTAGATCATGGCTAATCTTCTACCTCAGTGCGGGAACATGGCATTATCCCCATATCTCTTAATGTTGTTAGTCTCCAGAAACCTATGCATTTCTGTTGCAATCATACATAGTGATTGAGCTTCCACAGTCCTCTGGGGTTGAGAACTCGAAAGATTCACGACCCTTCAAGTGAAGAAATTCGTCCTCCTCCTCCTAGTCTTAGAGTCACAGTTGTCAAACACAGAAACAGATCTTTCGGTCTGACTCATCCGTGCTGACCAGGTGTCCTAAATTAATCTAGTCCCATTTGCCAGAATTTGGTCCATACTTTTTAAACCCTTCCTAGTCATGTCTCCAGCTTAAGAGACCTGCTCCTTACTCTGATATTATGTCCCCTAATTCTAGAATCAACAGCCAAGGGAAACATCACATCTGTATCGCTCCTGTCACAGCCTAGAAGAATTTTATCAGTTCGAAAGTTTAAAAGAATAAATTTCTACCTCTCATTCTTTGAAATTCTAGGGCATGCGGACCCAGGTTCCTCAATCACTCCTCATGAAGGAATCCTGCCAACCCAGGGTCTAATCTGTTGAACATTCATTCAACTCCCTCTATGATAAATATATACTTGCCAGATAAAACATAAAAACTGCAGACGATATTCCAAGTATATTTTCACCAAGACTCCAGACAACTACAGCAAGACTGTACTCAAATCCCCTTGAATGTCATCAGATTATTTGCCTTCCAAATTGATTTGTGCACCTCCTTGCTAGCTTTTAGTAACTCATAGACAAGGACACCGAGACCCCTTTAGATTCCAGCGCTTCCCAACTTCTCACCATTTAAATAACATTTTGCCTCTTTCTTTTAATCAAAATAAATAGCTTCACACTTATTCACGTTATTCCATTTTGATGTTTCCTAACCCATTCACTTAACCCGTGTACATTGTTTTGAAGCTGCCTTGCATCCTCCTTGCAACTTTTGTTTCCATCCAGCTTGAAGTCATCAACAAATCTGGAAATATTAAAATCTGTCTCCAAATCTAAATCATTTACACACAGTCATACAGCACAGAAACAGACCCTTCAGTCCAACCAGTCCATTCCGAACATAATCCCAAACCAAATTGGTCCCACCTGCCTGCTCCTGGCCCACATCCCTTCAAATGTTTCCTATTCAAGGGCTTGTTTCCATGTTGTATGATTCTGACTAACTCTGACCTTTCAACCTCCTACGCTCCATTGAGAAAAGCCCCAGCCTATCCAGCCTTTCTTATAACTCAAACCTTCCATACCCTGCAACATCCTGGTAATTCTCTTCTGAATCCTCTCCAGCTTAATATAGATGTTGAATAGTTGTGGGCTTAACATTGAGCCTTATGGTTACCCACTAATAACCACCATTCTGATAAAGAGTCACTGGCTATGAAATGTTAACTCTGCTTTTTTCCTACAAATGATGCCAGACCTGCTGAGTTTCAACAGCAATTTCTATTTTTGATCCTGAGAATAATTAGTTTATTCTGACTCTGCTTTCTGTCTGTTAACTACATTTCAATCCATAAA